TTATTATTATTATTATTATTATTATTATTATTATCGTTGTATTATTTTATTTCTTTAAATGATAGTGATGTGATTCGTATTTGTCATTGAAAAAAGCATTGCTAATGAATGTGAAGATAATCCAATCGATTTTGTGCATTCTTTTATAATCGCATACTATTATGACTTCTTATTTAATGATGATTGTTTTTGAATTTTAAAATTTTAATTAAAAATAGGATAATGAAAAATTTTCTTAACTCTATTTTTTAATATTTTTATTTCTGAAAATAAGTTGATAAAGATTTTATGACATATGCGCTTTTTTCCCTTTCATTATACAATTAATTAAATTTGATTTTTTCAACAAAATTGTTTTCAATTTCAGAAGAAAAAAAAAACTTGAAATGTTATTACAGAAATGATGTATCCTCGTAAACTTCATGATCATTTTTCATTTGATCCACGATTGGAACAATATGTATATGCTGAGATATTTCCATTATGCGATGATTTCTATTTTTATGGAACCGATCAATTAGTAACACCATTTCCATTCATTATTGAACATCCGGTAATTAAATAATTTCGAGTATCATCATTAAGTAATTAAATAAAGCAGGAGTAATATTTGAATAACATTTTTTGATTACCATTTTGTATAAAAAATTCGTTGAAGTATTGAAATTTTAAATTATGAATTAAAAAATTACTACGTAAGTGAAATTTAATTCATCTATTGTTTCACTATTTAACGTGAAATTTTTACAATGGATCATTTACATATTTGCATTCTACTTCGATTTCACTCACTTCTAATTTCCTTCATAATTTAACAATTCCAAGCAATTTTTTGGTAATACTTCATATTCTTTAGTTTATTAAACCACCAATGCCTAAATGGCATGAAGAACTTCGTCAAACAGTAAGTTTCCTATTTTTAGAATTTATATCAATTTATAGTCAAAATTTAAAATATCTTATTAATAAGCTATAAATAGCGAATTTATTATTGAGAATAAAAAAAGATTCAGAAAAATAATTATTCAGAAGATATTCTGAATAATTGAATATTTTGCATCTTTCAATAATTAAAAAATAAACAACAATAATTATTTTGCATCATTCCACTAATATTTGTTGCAACAATTTAAACTGTAACAGTAATAAAGCACTGACATATAATAATCATAAGTAACACGTGACAAGTAACATTCGCATTTCTTTTCACGTTATGTATAATGCTAAGCATAATTAATAACAATAAAAATAATATTAACATGCAGAAAAATATTAGCGAAAATAACTAAAAGATAAAGATTGCAGACAGAAATTATTTTTTTTTTTTTGAAATTGGTTGATTTGTAAATTGGTAGATAGAAAATAATGTCAATACAAATTATTTTTCTCAGTTATAGATTTCCTTTTTTTCATGACCTTAAGGATGCTGGACCTAGCAAGAAGGAAGAGTCCGATTATAGGTCATATGCTTATATCGATCGTATCATACGACCTGGATATGATTTAAAACGAAGTGAGCAGGTAAAATGTCACAACTGAAATTTTATTTTCATTTTCATTTGTTTGAAATTAACATATGTCGCATCAATATATTACATTTATGCAATATACCATGATTTACAGAATCTAAATTAATTACAGCATTTCACTATAAATCAATATAATTTACATAAAATAATATCGAAATTTTTTCATATTTATTCATTAGAAAGTAGCAAATACCAAATACCGTAATCATGTACTGTAGTATACCGTACCTAAATTAAAATACATCAATATACTGTATATAAATAACATGAAAATCTATTTTTGTTTATTTATTTATATTCATTATAATAGAATTGCAATGATAAGCATAAAAACAAATTATAACAATTTGATGAAATTTTTGAAAATATAATCATTGTCAAATGAAGCTCTACCTAAAATTCTAACTTTAATACACAGAAAAAATTATTGGTAATTAACAATAACTAAAGAAAATCAAACTAATGCTTATTTTATTTACAGCCAAGTAGCATGCAAACTCGACGATCCCATGTGAGTATTATGTTAATTTTTCGAAACAAAATCATATATGTATAATACACAGAGATTGTATAGCTATTTTAATAATCCAGTTAATTAAAGTAATTTTAGTGTTTCAAATCACTTAAATATTTTCCCCAAATTTCGTTTGTAGATTACCATTTTTGTTTTTTTATTAGATCTACAATAACTTCTTTTATAATCACTGGTAACAATTGCAATTTTATAAATCTTTATTAATTTATGCTTTTAGCAAGATTTGCAACGTTTACATCAACTTCAACATTGGTTACGTGGCATTTTTGCACCACGCCTATCATATAAGTATCGCGTAGAACGATTATCTGATGATAATGAATAAACGAAAGTTTAAAAAAAAATTTTTTTTTCTTGACATCGAATTTTTTTAAATAATTTTTGCAAAGTTTAGAAAGAAATAACTGCTAATTGTTATTGACTGTTTGTGAGTATAATATTATTATTTATTTGTAGTATGAATACTCAATTATCCACTGTTGACAAGTATTTTTATTTTTCCACTTCAAATAGCATGTCGTACATAATGAAGTAATTAGAGAAATTAGTTGAAATTTGTCCCGTAAATTTGGGCATAAAATTAATAAACGTAGATCTGGAAAATGAGATAAGCAGCATATTGCGTGACAGATGTGCTATCTCATTTCAATTCTTTACAACGGTTTTGGATTATTGAATTCTTAAGATATGCTCTAATTAAACAATTATTAAATTCAAGAATTTGTTCCGTATTATTATCATTACTATTATTATTATTATTGTTATCATTATCATTGTTAATATTATTACTGTCATCATTACTATTGTTATCATTATTATTGTTATCATTATTATTGTTATCGTTATTATTGTTATTATTATTGTTATTATTATT